TATCTGTTTTCCCCTGGTTTTGACATTTAGAAAAATAACGGAGTGAGAAGAGCCAAGGACTCCAAAGCAGTGTAATAGGAGTGGCCTTGCCCCGGCCTGGCGCTAACGTTCCCAGATTAGCTCTGCTGGTGTAGATACCGTCTACTTTGACTTCATTGCTCTCCCTACCTCTTCAACATTACTATGAATCAAATGGCTGAAAAATGCTATTTTACTTATTGCTAAGCTTCTTTTAGCATTTTCCAAGTAAAAATGTTCACCCAGGCAGTGCACGGTGGCTCATGCCTATAATCCTAGCACTTTGAGAGGCCAAGGCGGGAGGATCACTTGAAGCCAGGAGTTCAAGCCTAGCCTAGGCAACATAGCAAGACCCTATCTCTACAAAAAAATTTTAAAAATTAGCCAAGCATGGTAGCACATCCCTATAATCCTAGGTACTTGGGAGGCTGAGGCAGGAGGATTGCTTGAACCCAGGAGTTCAAGGTTGCAATGAGCTGTGATGGTGCCACTGTACTCCAGCCTGGGCAGCAGACCAAGACCTCGTCTCAGGAAAAAAAAGGTTCAACCTAAGATTCCAGGATCCCCAGTGCAAATCCAGGGTCAGAGAGTCTACTGAATCCTTGGGGCTATAGCCAGTGAACTCTTCTTAAGCTAAACACTGAGTACCAGAGAACTGAAGGGCTGGATGGTATGCGTCTGATCTTTTTCTCTGTGCAGTGACAACATCTGGGGTCATTTTTGAATGCAGGGCTGCTGTCAGCAACAGTGGGCTGTGATCTCTCCTGGCTACACATCGTGTGTTCTCTCCCAGAACCGTGGATGACAAATGACCGGTCCCCACCCAATTCCTGGGGCCCTTCTGGAGGGGCCGCTGTGGCCTATACACCTGGTGAGGAGGTGGGGGTGTGCGTGGGGTCCTCCATGTCCACCTTGGCTACAGGAGGGTCGCAGAGGGGGATGACCGGTCTTCGCAACAAGGAGGCAAAGGAATGTGAATGGGTGGGCCTGGAGTGTGGCTTGGCCTCTTAGCATCTGTGCCACCATCCCCAGCAGCAAACAGAACTGCCTGTGGGCTGGGAGCCCCTGCACTCCTGGGAGACCCCAGGAAAACAGTACGAAAAGGAGCAGTGCAGCTGCTCTGAGAAGTAGCTTTGTCTCCCTTTCAACTTCTCCTCCTTTCTGTTCTTTTCTGATTCATAAACTTTACTTTTCAGAGGAATTTTAGGATTACAGAAAAATTGATGTGAAAGTACAGAGATTTCCCTTATACCCTCTGCCTGTGCCCCTCCAAACTCCACCACTATCAACATCCCCCACCAAGTAGTCCGTTTGTTACAATCAAGAAACCTATAGTGACACCTATAGTGACACTTCACTATCACCCAAAGTCCAGGGTTTACACTCGGGTTCACTCTTGGAGCTGAACATTCTATGGGTTTGGACAAGCACATAATGATGCCTATCCACCATTAGAGTATGCCACAGAGCAGTGTCACTCCCCTAAGGATGCTCTGTCTCCACCCCTAGCCCCTCCACCCCACCCCTGACCTCGTTACTGGCTCTACGTCTCCATACTTTTGCCTTTTCCAGAATGTTAGTAGGAATCGTGTGATGTAGTCTCCCAGACTAGCTTCTTTTGTTCCTCCCTCCTTTTGAGCGAATCTACTTGTAACCTCATCACCATTTCCAGGTCACAAATGAGGACACCAGAGTGCAGACCGGTGACACAGCCTGCCCAGGATCACCCAGCTGGTAAGTGACAGGGCCAGGGTGTGAGCCCAGAGCCCCAGTTACTATTCACTTGGCCCCTGCCTCCTTGTGACTGTTTCACCATCTGGAAACAAACGGCCCTTCCAGCCCCTTCTCGGAGGCCAGGCCAGTGGGCCACCTGCAGGCTGGGGAAGGTGGAAGGGGAGGTTCCCTGGCCCCATTCCTGAGGGTTCACTCACCCATCCCAGGTCACTGAGTAGGGGCAGCAGACAGCAGAGTCGGGCCCTCTCTTCACAGCTCCTGGCAGTGATCCCAGACTCCATGAGGAAGCAGGAGGTGCGGACGGGTGGGGAGGCTGGCCAGGGCCATGGCACCGGCTCCCCAGCCGAGCAGGTGAAAGCCCTCATGGACCTGCTAGCCGGGAAGGGCGGTCAGGGCTCTCAGGCCCCGCAGACCCCTGACAAGATGCCTGACTCTCCGTTGGGGCCCCACGGCAACGGTAGGACCCGCTTGGGAAGCCACGGAGGGGTCTACCTGGGCCCTCTCCCCTCCACCCTTCGCTGACCCCACCCTCCCCTCTGGCCTCTGTCCTGCAGACTCAAGGATACAGAGGCACCGAGAAGCCCTGCTGAGCAGGGCAGGAGGCAGCCGGGAGCTGAGCAGTGTCTCGCCCGGGCTTCCCACCCTTCTGCTGGTGGAGGGCCTCACTGACCTGCAGCTGAGGGAGCATGACTTCACACAGGTGGAGGCCACCCGTGGGCGCTGGCGCCCTGCCAGGGCCATTGCCCTGGACAGGCTCTTCCTGCCACTCTCCCGGGTGTCCATCCCGCCCCGAGTCTCCATCACCATCGGGATGGCCGGCATGGGCAAGACCACCCTGGTGAGACACTTTGTCCGTCTCTGGGCTCGAGGGCAGGTCAGCAAGGACTTCTCCCTGGTGTTGCCTTTGACCTTCCGGGATCTCAACACCCACGAGAAGCTGTGTGCAGACAGGCTCATCCGCTCCGCCTTCCCGCACGTTGGGGAGCCCAGCCTGGCGCTGGCAGCCCCCTCCAGGGTCCTCCTGATCCTGGACGGCTTGGACGAGTGTAAGACGCCCCTGGACTTCTCCAACACTGTGGCCTGCACAGACCCCAGGAGGGAGATCCAGGTGGACCACCTGATCACCAACATCATCCGTGGCAACCTCTTCCCGGAAGTTTCCGTCTGGATCACCTCCCGTCCCAGCGCGGCTGGCCAGATCCCGGGGGGCCTGGTGGACCGGATGACTGAGATCCGGGGCTTTAACGAGGAGGAGATCAGACTGTGTTTGGAGCAGATGTTTCCCGAGGACCAGACCGTCTCAGGCTGGGTCCTGAGCCAGGTGCGGGCCGACAGGGCCCTATACCTGATGTGCACCGTCCCAGCCTTCTGCAGGCTCGTGGGGTCGGCGCTGGGCTACTTGTGCCGCAACAGGCCGGGGCCCCGGGATGCAGAGCTGTGGCCTCCCAGGACCCTGTGTGAGCTGTACTCTTGGTACTTGAGGATGGCCCTCAGCGGGGAGGGACAGGAGAAGGGCAAGGCGAGCCCTCGGATTGAGCAGGTGGCCCATGGCGGCCGCAAGATGGTGGGAACGCTGGGCCGGCTGGCCTTCCACGGGCTGGTCAAGAAGAAGTATGTGTTTTACGAGCAGGACATGAAGGCATTGGGTGTGGACCTCGCTCTGCTGCAGGGGGCCCCGTGCAGCTGCTTCCTGCAGCGGGAGGAGACGCTGGCCTCTTCGGCCGCCTACTGCTTCACACACCTGTCCCTGCAGGAGTTTGTGGCGGCCGTGTATTACTATGGCGCATCCAAGAAGGCCATCTTCGACCTCTTCACCGAGAGCGGCGTGTCTTGGCCCAGGCTGGGCTTCCTCACGCATTTCAGGAGCGCGGCCCAGCGGGCCATGCAGGCTGAGGACGGGAGGCTGGACGTGTTCCTGCGCTTCCTCTCAGGCCTCTTGTCTCCCAGGGTCAACGCCCTGCTAGCCAGCTCCCTGCTGGCCCCAGGCGAGCACCAGGGCTACCGGGCCCAGGTGGCCGAGCTGCTGCAGGGCTGCCTGCGCCCCGACGCCGTGGTCTGTGCCCGGGCGGTCAACATCCTGCACTGCCTGCATGAGCTGCAGCACACGGAGCTGGCCCACAGTGTGCAGGAGGCCATGGAGAGCGGGGCCCTGGCTGGGCTGACCGGCCCTTTGCACCGGGCCGCCCTGGCCTACCTCCTGCAAGTGTCTGATGCCTGTGCCCAGGAGGCCAACCCGTCCCTCTGCCTCAGCCAGGGCGTCCTCCAGAGCCTGCTGCCCCAGCTGCTGTACTGCCAGAGCCTCAGGTGGGTGCCGGCGTGGGTTGGGGGGATGCAGGGGGCAGAGGAGAGAGAAGGACCTGGATGTTCCCCCACTTCACCACGCCCCTCTCTGTCTGCCTCCTGGGGCTGCCGTGACAAAGGACCACAAATTCAGTGGCTTCAAACAACAAAAATTTGTTCTCTCGCAATTGTGGAGGCTGGAAGTCTGAGATGAAGGTATCAGCGGGGCCGCACTCCCTCTGAAACCTGCAGGGGACAGTCCTTCCTTGCCTCTAGCTCTGGTGCTGTGGCAGCACTGCTCCATTCCCTGCCTCTGTGTCACATGCCGTCTTGTCCCTGTGTGTCTGTCTTCAGACAGACCTGTCCTCTCTTAAAAGGACACCATCACACCGGATTTCAGGCCCGCTCTACTCCCATGTGACCTTTTCTTAAATAATTACATCTGCAGCGACCCTCTTTCCAATTAAGGCCACATGCTTGAGGCACTGGGAGTCAGGACTTCACCATATCTGTCTGGGGGACACAATCTAATTCCTGGCACCCCCAACCCATCCCGACTGATGGAAGCTGACTCTGCCCTCAGCCGTCCTCCGTCCACTGCCCTGCACCTCAGCAAGCGGGCAGGCCAGGACGTGGGCTGAGCGTCCTCAGGAATCAGAGCAGCTTGGGGGCCCTCAGAAGTGGGAGAGCTTGCAAACGGTGTCCCGCAGAGGCACTCGGCATGCGGGTTGCTGGGACAACAGCCAGCAGAAAAGACGCCTATGGGACAGGAACCACAGGGCTCACGGGCACCCCGCCTCTCGTCTCCTCTGATAGAATGGTCCAAGCACACGGGTGTGCGGAGCGATCCCCAAGCTGCGGTGAGGGTGCTGGGGTGGGCTGGAGAGAGGCGGAGGGGGCCTCTCCCCCTGCCTTTGGGTGGCAGGACCACACTCACTGTCACTGCTCCCCTTTGCCAGGCTGGATGCCAACCAGTTCCAGGACCCCGTGATGGACTTGCTGGGCAGTGTGCTGAGCGGGAAGGACTGTCGCATTCAGAAGATCAGGTAACGCTGATCTTGGAGCCCCCCAGGGTGCCCACCTGTCTCGAGGGGTGTGGGCCCCCTCCCCATCATCCTCCCTCTCTGCTCACCTGGCCAGTGGCGCCTTCGAGGAGAGGTATCTTCGAAGCGGGTGCCTCAGGATGCAGCCTGCTTGTTTCTGCCCATTCTGGAACGTGCCAGGGGCTCAGGTACCTCATCTGTAAGAAGGAAAGGACCGGACGCTGCTGCGGACACGGAAGCATCTCTCCAGCGCTGTATGTGCCGGCGCAGCAGCCGCACGAGCGTCTCTAAGCTCCTCTCGACGTCTGCGGTCACACAGCATTCTGGGCACAGGATTGCACTGAATTAAAACATTTTTAGTGCTCGCTTCGGCAGCACATATACTAAAACTGGAACGATACAGAGAAGATTAGCATGGCCCCTGCGCAAGGATGACACGCAAATTCGTGAAGCGTTCCATATTTTTAAGTATTAAAAAAAAAAAATAGACTTAAAGACAAAGAGTAGAACAAAGATAAAGAGGTTCATTTCATAATGATAAAAGGGACAACTCATCATGAAGATAT